CCGTGCTTCGTAAAAAAAAAAATATCACAGGTGTACGGTGAAACAAAATGTTTTTGTTATTCCAGATATCTTCCTTTCTCCGTGTTTAACAGTTTCACCCTGTTCTGTACTCCAATCGACCTGTCCCCTTTCATTGTTATTGTAATTATTGTTGTTGCATGCCGGTGGTATATATATATATATATATATATTATATATATATATATACATTTATATAGTAAAGGTTTTCATCCGGAACACACAAGACGTGGTGGCTGACACATTAAGCACCGTTGACCTGTGCGTTTTGACGGCACCTTGGTTGCCCGAGGAACTGACAGTCGTTGGCTGCATCTGAAACTTGCGCTGCTACCACTTCGACCGTAACAGCTCATCTGGTGGAGAGTGCCTGAGATTGATATAGGTCATGGTTAGCTAAAAGCATTCGATCAGCAGCGTGCATACTGCACGTGATCCCCCATGGTCGTGTTATTCGATATCTACCTCAGTCCGAGTTCGTTGCACCAAGAAGACGAGGAAATCCTTGAGGCCTCATGGAGAACACCCGAGGTCAGTTGGACACGATTCTAATAGCAAAAACGGGTTTGATACGTCCCTCTTCAATACCATAACCGATCAAGCCCTCACACAGCACGTGTTTATACCTTGGGCTTGTGCTCTCTTTTTTACGGGGAAAGTCAATGACGTCTCGGGAGTAATGACCGGAGTTCCTTTGAGAAAAAGTGACCACTTCACGGTGTACTTCAAATTTCAACCGGTGAATACCCCGGAGCCCAAAACTGGGATTCGAAGATTCCACAACATTAACATTGAAGACCCATGCAACGGGAATAAGACAATTTGCTGGGACAATCTGAGCTCTTAGGAGGGGACTTGGAACCAAATAAAAGCCAAAATCACACACTAAGGTTTGTCAGCCCGTAAGAACAACGGGAATAAGAGGACGAAAACTACGATTCCGACTCAGACTACACCGCACACTCAAGAAGAAACACCAGGCATGAATGGCGTTCAAAGGATAACGAATTCCTTTGCACTTCGCTCAAGACCAGCGACTACGTAATAAGAACATCAAAGTCGCACGGACCGTTGGATTCTCGGATGAGCTAACCATAGCCAACAAAACCTCAAACTATCCCAAAGTACGTCAGTTTTACTCAAGCCCGGTCCTTCTAAAAATGGAGATTGTTAACTCTCTCTCTGTCAATGTTTAGCCCTTGACCACAGGCAAAAGAAATGGCCGACTTGCCTTGCTTCATTCCAGGAGGTTTTTTGGCTAGATACCATGGACATCCTGGAGCGAGTCAGTGATTGTTTCCGTTTTTAAGATGGGATCTCGCAACAACTGCGCAAACCACCGTGGAATAAGTTTGACCCCAATCGTCACCAAGTTACTAGCCTCTGTTATACTTCGACGTCTAACACCGTTTAGGGAGACAAACATCCGCGAACAACAAGCAGGATTTCAACCAGGTCGCGGTTGTATCGACCAAATCTTCACTCTGCGTCAAGTCCTCGAGCTACGCCATACGCACCGTCCCCCAACAGTTGTCTTGTTCCTTGATCTAAAAGGAGCCTTGGACTCAGTTGATTGTTAATCTCTTATGGGTTCACTCTTTTGCAAAGGAATGCCGCAGAAGTATGTGAACATACTGAGTACACTCTAATCACATACCCCTAGTACCATAAGGGTCTACGGCGAGCTGAGTAGGTCTTTCGTAACTAGCAGCGGTGTTCGGCAAGGGTGCTCTCTTTCACCATCCTTGTTCAATTTCGTCAAAGACGAAATACTGGAGAACACACTAATTGGTCCCCAAAATGTAGGTATTGAATGGACAGCTGGAGAAAAGCTGTGCGATTTGGTGTACGTTGACGACATCATTTGCTTGTTCGAATGTATGGAGGATGCACAAAGAGCACTTGACAGATTAGCAAGTTCTGTCGCTCCGTTCGGCATGTGCTTTGCACCTACAAAGTGCAAAGTGATGCTACAAAACTGTGTCACCGAGTTCTGCGGTGAAACCAGGAATTAGCTGCAGTTAACTGCCTCTCGTACTTAGGTAGCTGCATAACCAACGACGGTAGTGCATCAAAGGAGATAACCGCCTGCATTTCCAAGGCTGTAGCAGCGTACTCAGGACTTGACCACCTGTGGTGGCGACGTGACTTGTCACTAAAGTTGAAAAGTCGCGTATAATGCGCCACCGTACGATCAGTTCTACTTTTCGGTTGTGAGACCTTGAAGAAGAAGACACCCGTCGCTTAGCAGCGTTCGACAGTCGATGCTTGCGTAGTCTGGCCCGGTTTGGATGGAGTGAACGGGTTAGTAACTTAGAAGTAAGTCGTCGGGTGTTCGGGAATACTTCAAACAAGAACTCGCTATCTCATCGAATCCAGCTGAATAGGCTTCATTGGAACACGTTTTTCGTATGTCCGACGGTCGCCTACCACAGCGCGCCTTGTTTGCAGTGGCTGTTACAGGCTAGAGAAAGCCACGTGGAGGCCAGCAGATGACGTGGAGACGATGTATGAAGAAATGCATAGAGCGACTAGGTAGAGTAGGTGTCTCATCTTCCGGGTTTGGGTCCAAAAGACTTTGAAACCGCATGGTTGGAGACACTGAAGGTTATGACTGCGAACCGACAGCAGTTGAACTGTGTACTCTGTGTGATGACCATAGAAGTTCGCTTTCTTTTCCCGTCCCTAAAAATAACCTCAATCCCTTTTTTCCTTACACATTCTCACTTAACTTGTATACATTATGAGTTTGGGAGCGATCAGTAAAGTTCGCTTCACTGTATTACGCTGTACAATGATGATGATGGGCAACTGTTTATTTCTCACTCTATCACGCGTTATACCAGTTCTGGCGGTCTCTTCATCGCATAAAGAAAGAGTCTTTAAAATTCTCAAGGACTTTAAATCTGCGAATTCGGACGATATTTATCCAGCTGTTGTAAAACCGATAGGAGCGTTGGTGATTTCCCAACATGTCCCAGTCATCAGCGATTCTTTGAACAAAATCAGGATTCCGGATGATTGAAAACATGCTACAATCGCCCCAGTTTTTAAAGGGTGTGACCAATCGGTTCCGACTGACTATAGACCTATACGTCTCGCCAGCATCATTGCGACGCTTTCAAAGCGCACACTGAGACTACATTTGCTCCTACCTTCTTCTGCAAAGTAGAACACAGCTAATCAATCTTCATGTCTTACAAACCTATTGTATTTCCTGAATGCAGTCACCAGGACACTGGATGAGGGGGATGGGCATCAGTGTGCCACCAAGATTTCCTATGCCAATCTGTGTTCAGTGCTCACTCAAGTCGATGATCTCATTCTCCTCTACTGATACGCCCTCAGAAGTGGATACTACCAGTGAAACAATGAATAGGGAAATGATTCTACGTTGACCTTGCAGCTGTTCGCGTGACTTGAGCTAGGCTCCAAAGTCACTCGACTGGATTAAGCTGTCAGATGGGATGTGACGTTTGTTATGCGTCAAGGCTTGTAGCGGGAAGTTGTTTATTCTCCAGTAGGGCAGTAGCTATGAAGCAATCACTAGAAACTGCTGGGAGTCACTAAGTAGTGGCTATTAAACAGCAGGTAAAGTTATAGCTTAGCTTACGTATAGAGCCCTCTAGTTTCAGTATTTTTGTCTTCAACAATAGCAATAATGTGACTTGGGGTTTCTGCTTGTTTTCGGTCTCGTCTAATGACCTTGGCTTACTTTTCCGTCTTAAAGGATGAAATTGTTTGGAGAATTCGTTGTGAAGGTTGTCAGATTCCTAATCCGTTTCCTATTCCAAAAACCTGCAGATATAAATTGCGAAACACACTTGAGCTAGAATCGTGCGTGACAGAGAGACTGTTATCAGTAGCCAACGTTTTTCACTAAATGGGATAAGATTTGAACCTGATTTGAAGAAGCCGGTGTACTCAAGACCGTGAAACTGAGTTTCCTTTCATACGAATACATTATCATCTGTCTTTTTCAGCTGGCTTATCTAACCTAAGCCCCTTTGGTATGGGCTTGTCACCGAGCAGCCTCAGATCTGAAAGTTTGCAATGTCTGGTTTCTGATCCGGAATATCTGGTACACGCAGTAGACCAGCATCGTTTTCAAGTTGCGTCTGCTCGGGACAATCTGAACATCAAATTGTCCTGTACGCAACTGACAGATTCACCGGTTCTCAGTAACACGGACGAACGCTTATGCTTGTGTACCGCCTCACTTTTGGATTGTCGCTTACGGCTTGTATGCAAAGGACAGTTGGAGCTGCGCACATCAGACCTTCTATTTCGGGATGCATCATATGTGCTTACCTGGCCACTGGGAAGTCTTCGGTGGTACGCTACTGATGCGAAACATTTCGTGTTCGAGTCCGGACGTCGTAGTCCTTCAGGTTGGTTGCAAAATTTAATTTCCAGTCATTTGATCACAACATTTGTTTTTCATTTTGAGCGCCATGTGAACCTTGTGCTTCGTTCATGTCGCTTCATCATTCAAGGGCACTGTTTGTGTTACACAGTGTAACAGTTCTTCTGTTTGCCAAAAAATCTCTAAGGATTGTTCATTGTCTTCATTTGTGCCAAGATTACCACTTTCTATTCTCATTGTTGTCGCGTTGGTAGCAATAGATGGTTTAAACGATGCCAAACATTTGGGCATTTCTTCGCGGAGAGTACGAAACCTTGCCCGTTCCCTCGGACAAACTAGGGCTTTTTGGTGGAACAAGGGCAATCCAATTCCTCACAATTGATTTAAAATTGAAAATATTTAGCTTTTTACTTGTTTTTCCCGCTTATGAATCACAGTCTCCAAAAGATATTGCTCATCAGAGTAATATTTGCCCAAAGGCACTGGGTTCTCCGTTTTGCTCGATCTCATTGATGGTTCGAACGCTGTCAGATTAATGTTACCAACTGTCCACATACAAGATTCCATTTCACTGGTCGCTTTATTTGTCTCTAAATTGCACCTCCACCTTCATTATCATCGTCATCATCCTACAGCGAAATACAGTAAAGCGATCTTCACTGATCGCTACTAAACTCGCAATGCATACGTGTATGCATGGACGGGTACTGCTAAGGTGTCCAACTACTAAGCAGGAGAACGAGTAGGGTTCTCGTTCAAAGCCTTTAGTTCTAACAAGAACCTGACCGCAAGGCAGCGAGTGAAGCGAATTGGAGGCTCATTTACTTCGACCGATTACTCCTCCATCATTTTTTACCGGCTGAAACGTAAATTCCAGTCGAACCCCCAACCTGGAGGACCAGGAGACTGAACTTCGTCCGACCTCTACCTATTGATCTTCCAGGTATGATAAGATCTCTAGGCTTCACAAAAGCCATCCTGTGTAGCTCGTTGGGTCAAATAGGTGCACGAGCCATCACTCCACGTCAAGGTGCAGTCTCGTACTTCGTCATACTTCATTCTCTCTATGCGTCTCCCCAGTAGTTCTGGAGCACCTACTTGCAAACTTGCTGATCTTGAGATCTGGCCGAAAATCATAAATTTCAGTGCTCAGACTAGGCCTCTGTCAACAACTGGTTATTCGGTTAGGTAATACTTTGTGCCTTCAAAATAGCAGCTGAAGACTGGAGGCTTGCCCGATTTCGTCAGATTTTATGCTAGTAGACAGGAGATTATGCCACTATGCTCACGGAACTTATCTTGATAAGTTAACAGAATCCAGATGATTTCTTCTGTGAAGAAGTTGATGTGATTAGTATGGTATCAACCGGGACTTACCCAGGACTGCACTAAACACACTGTGACGGTCGGTAGATGTTGGAGGTGACCTATTCTGCGTGCACACCCGTTAGGTTCTCTAGTTTAACAGCCACCTTCCATCTAATGCGCTTTACTATTATGTTTTAGCGGGGAGGGGGGGGTTCAGTTCCTCCGTTAAGGTCGTACGGATACACTGTACTCCAGTAGTTGGTACCAAACGCAAATGACAACTGATACCACTGTCAGACATGCATTTTATGGCCAGTTACCATCACCCGGAACCCCATGTAATGCACTGCTATTCGCAGACGATAGAAATACATGCATCGGATTATCAGATGAGCGCATTTGTTATAATCAAGAGGAGGGATTCAGATTCGACAAACGATTTGACGGTGGTGAATGTCAATTCTCGTATTCGGACCTCAACTGACTAGTGTTTATTGACACCAGGTTTCAGCACGCCGCTCTCCCAAAGTACCCATACTAACGTGATACACACAGCAGTCAAAATTGATTTCATATTCGTCCTGGCTCGTTGGGCTGTTCAATGTGCATAAACAATAAATGCGAACGCCTCTAACCACAACCTTGCGTGTGCAATTTAAGGTCCTTCCGGGGGGGGGGCAATAAGAAAATGCGACTCCTACTTAAAATGGACGTTATAGCCTTGGCAGCAAGAAGAAGTGTCAGAGACTGTTGTCATTATCCCGGTCTCAATCACCGATGTTGAACAGAGCAGGTGCACAGTGAACAGACTTGGGAAAATTGTGTAAAGGGACTGTTCTGACACCCTGAGCTTCACTTTTAGACAGAGTAAAAGTTAGATGTCCAAGAATTCGGTACAGTTGTCCTCTGCAAGACAAACAAAGGTCTGCTCCCTTGAACTAGCCTCAGTTTCGCCGCATTCGATGTGAGTTCACTCGCTCTGCGTGAAACAGTTGTAAGCAATCATCAACACCATAATCGTGCAGCGGAATACAGTGATGTGAACTTCACTGATTTCTACCGAGCTAACAAACTAAGTAAGAAAGTGCAAGTTGGATAGGAATGGGGACTTATTTCTAGTGCGGGGAGGACAATTCTGAAAGGAAATAACTGTTGCCATGGCAACAGCAGTTGCCGCGTTTGGCTTCTATAGGCTCTTCCATCACAAAAGTGTACACCAATTGACGTAAATGACAAAGCCATTCAAGCGAATGAACTGAAGCTAATAAGATGGAGTAGATTGCTACGATCCGCAAACAATCCTTTCGTTACAAGAACCTCCAAGTAATTCTAAGGCTTACAGTTTCAAATCTGTCATCCACATAGCCAGGATAAAATCCCCACAACTGACTTATCCGCACGCTGGAGTTAGTCACAAAATTGAGTAATTTTATTCGTCCCATGACTATATGGAAGAGATGAGCGTTGGATCTCCGTTTAAACGGATAGCCTTAAGGTATGACATCCAAAGTTGGAACGGATGTCTTTGAAGAAATTGTGCGTTGTGCTCATAGTATTAGATCCGTATAGGAATGTTTGGATGAGCCACAACAAGAGAAAACCAAAAACAACAATTTTTGGATAGCCTTACTTCGATTATGATCACGAACAAACTGACATGAACAAGGCTCCATCCCAAGCACGACTGCAATACCCAGTGGTGGATCCTATATGAGTATATTCCAAAAGATCATGTGAAAAACCTTTCCTCATGGAAGTTAAATGTTGGCTTTTCGATCTACCTAAGGCAAGGGTCGTGACATGATGAGTTGAAAAGGTAGACACATAGAGTTATGAAGCTGAAAGGAGGGGGTCAGTAGACAGTACAGTTAAGCATTCTGGAGAAAGAAAAGCAATTTTGGAAGTGTTGATTCTGTTACAGCCAAGCCCCAAAATTTTATTCGGTGAAATCAAAAACCTCCTTAGCCTATGTTGGTGCCGAAAATCCTCTTCTTGTTCGCTTTCATTCTATCCCTGTTTCTGTCTATTTCTCTCGCACAGGTCCAGGCCTATTTGTTTTCAAGTGTAAACACTCAAAAAAGTTGGGTCTGAAACTGAGCATGCAGATTCACCGACTCCTGTCGCACAGGTCTGACTCGGCACAATCACACAGACAACGTTATACGACCCGTCCTTCGGTAAGTTGTTATTGCTAGTCGTGCTGCTCCTGCTCGTTTTTGCACCAGACTGTTAATTTAATTAGAACGATGTATATTTTAATTTGACTTTTTTTCCCCTCGACTGATTTAACTATTCGCTCCCCCTCCCCCCGACCCTACTTTCCGGTTGCTGATTGATCCAATGTGCAAGCATTCTGATGTTTACGTGCCACTTCCCGAGGTGTCCGCGCGCGGGATGTGTTTACCGTGCCCAATTCGGGTTTCTCTGTCTCTTGTTATCCTGTTTCTTTTTCTTATT